GTTTTGAGTTGGAAGGGACCCCTAGAGGTCATCTAGTCCAACCCCGCTGCAGTGAGCAGGGACACCGCTAACTAGATCAGGATATTTGTGACAGTGACACGTAGTGAGTTCTACCTAGGTCACTTGCACTTGAGCTGCATTTTGCTGTCTGGAGACACTTTAGGGCCTGAGGAGCAGTCAGTCTGTCATGAAGTAGTCTGTCTATAAATGAATCACAGGAGGTAACAACCGCCACCTGAGTTACACAAACCATTCTCTTCACCTCAAAAGCCTGTCCCTGGTGTTGGCTCGTTTGCTGAGCCCTATTTGGGGTGTGAATTTCCTCCTGAATCAAAAATATGTAAGCTAGTTCTCTCTAGTGATAAATCCTCAAGGCATATTTTGCTTGGTCTCCTTTGGGCAGTAAATTATATTTTCCCTTCTGCCTGCTTCCTGCTCTACTTTTCTTTTTAATTTTTATTCTATTTTTTGCTCTGTCTTTATTTCATCTCTAAGCTTTGGATCTCCCTCTTTCCGGTGGTGTCTGTAGGAACAACTGGCAAAGTCAGCAGCAATGACTCACTTAGCAGGAACAGCTTTGCTGAGACATAATAGGTTTGCTTCATTTATTTCTTTAAAGTAGGGCAATGTTCTCCCTCTCTGTTTTTTTTTTTTTTTTCATTCCCTCAGTTATTAAACTGAAAAACTAATTTAAAGCCATCTTCTCTTCAACAGAGGGTAGGACGAAAATGACTCGGCATTGGATTTCATGTGACAGGGCAAGCAAATGGCTTTCTGAAGTGTTGATTATACCTTAGGCTGCCTTTTAAAATACGTGTCCTCGCAGAGCAGTTTATCCTTAGCTATGTTTGTCACTGGGAAGGTAATTTGATAACTACATAGAAATAGTGCTGGTGATGTTACCTTTTGGCCTTATAGTCATTTTTGTTGTCAATTTGTCCCTTTGCTCTCATGATGCAGGACACCTTCTCCAGCAGCAAACGGTTGTTTCTTTCGATGACGGAAAGTCGGTCTTCCTCCAACTTTGCATACAGAAGGGATAGAGAAATGCTTTTGTTTTTACAAGGCCAGAGCAAGCAGCAATGATGTGTATCATGGCTACCTAACACGGTGGTCACAATTGCTGTCCCCTTCTCTCCACAGAGCATGACAGACACTGATCAGGTAAAGCTCTGTGCTAGTGTTGAGAGCAGCCTTCATTTCACCATTTTAATGGTGATGCAGGGGGAGAAAGCCCTTTGCGGTGCTGTGAATTTGGCCCTGAATCACTTTCCTGCAACCAGAGCAGCAGCTTGCGTGATTAGCAAACTCATTTCATCAGTGTAAGCGGTATTTCTATAAATATTTGTCAGTGTACTTTCTGGGATCATCATTATCTTCTATGTCTCTAGCGGCCTTCATAGACTCTTGTCAAAATCTAGGATTGTGGTGGATGCTGCATGAGCACATAATGGGACTTATCCAGGCTCCTCTGAATTCAGTGGGAGTCTTCCCGCTATCTTTGGTGGGCTTTGGATCAAATGGTAATTTTTCCATTGACTTCACTGAGGTTTGGATTAGGTCCAGTTGCAGGCCATTTTTGTCCTGGAGGGCTTGCAAGCTCGTGTAAGAAGAGAAGCAGCCAACTGGGTGTGACAAACAAATGGAGAAAGATGTATGAGGCAGTATAAGCTAGTTCTGTTCATCCTTAGCATGATTTTAAGCCTCTAACTTCAGTTTTAAAATGGAAGATGATTAATAATCTCTGAAATTAACTGTATAATGGGCAAAACACCTTAGTGTCAAAAGTGGGATGAAAATTGAAAGAGTCCAGCAGAGGAGGGAGACTCCCTTTGGATATCCCGGGGCATTGTCTAATTTGTAAAAAATGTTGCCATATTGTTATTTGAAGAACACAAATCCATGCTAAAAGTGTGTTTGTGGGGATTGCAAAGAAATGGGAGAGTGGTGAAGAGAAAAACTTATTTTCAAAGTTATCTGTATCCCAAGAAAACCTTCTCCAGCAGGGCTGAGTTGGACGAAACCAGAGAAAGGCTGGGTGGAGGAAAGCAGGGAAAGCACTCTTTTTCCTAGCTGGACTTCAACATCTTGTTCTCAAAAGCCTCTCAGAACAGAATCAATGAAGAAATCAATGAAGTCTTATTTGAGCATACTAATTCACTCTTCTCCTTTCCCCCTTTTTTTTTTTTTTTTTTTTTTTTCTGTATTTGATTCTAGGCACTCCAAAGATATTGCATGTCCTTTATAAAATGAACAGGAGATCCTGCTCATCAGCTCTGATAGTTTTGGGTGGCTGATGCTAGAGTGGAAAGTTACAGTAGGGCGTCTAGTGCATCTGCCCTGTTTGCCCCTGTTTGGGGTTTATAACCAAAGTGGGTCGGATGCTGGTCACGCTGTAGTATAAAGGTATCTAAAACTGGTGCATTAGGTAATGCACCCATCAGACTCTGAATAACCTTGAGGAGAAAGATGGTGAAGAAGAGCTGGTTAATGGAAGACTGCAATGTTAGAGGCTTTTTTTTTTTTCTTTCTTTCTTTCTGTAAACTGGTGCATTAGGTAATGCACCCATCAGACTCTGAATAACCTTGAGGAGAAAGATTGTGAAGAAGAGCTGGTTAATGGAAGACTGCGATGTTAGAGGCTTTTTTTTTTCTTTCTTTCTTTCAGCAGTTAGGAAAGGAGGAGGGTGAGAATCTCAGTTGCAGGTATCAGAACGTGTGGTTCAAAGGAACATGCCTAAGAGTAGTAGGTTCGTGTTGGTGGGGTTTTTGTTAACCTGGGGGTGCGGGGGGTGTGTGTGTGTGTGTGTTATGCAATGTTTCATTTTCAAAGGAAGTTTATCAATGTTATTTTTACAGTAATAGGAAAAAATTAACAACAGCAATTGAATCCACGTCCTAATATAGCATATGACTTTATGCATGGAGGAGAAATGAATTGTTTTGCTAGTGAAATGATTTCAAGGTGCCTGGGGATTATGATGTTGCACAGTGAGCTGATAAACAATTTTAAGGAAGTTAATTCTGAAGTCCTTACATGGGCTACACTCCCATTGCCTGAGGGGCACTGTGTTGGAAATTAAGTCTTTTACAGGATTTAGCTGCACGTATTTTCTCCTGTGCTCACATTTGGATTTTTTTTTAATTGTTGTTGTTTCCTTTTAGTGAGCAGAGTTAATTAGGTAACAATTTATTTTCCACTCTCATCTTTTAATAAAAATTTGCCTCCTGGGAGCAGTAAGATTTTGAAGGATAACTGCCAGTCAAGGCTACCCATTGTTATTTCTTGTGCTTTGAATATGTTAACATCCTATTATTCAGTTCATTGCTCTGTGTGTATCTCGATGATTGTGCTATTCTTGTTATTTGTGATGTTTTTTTCATGGTTGTGCAGAAGTACCTTTTAGGAGGCTATTTGAACACTTTAGCACTTGTTAATCTGAAGCGCTCTGATTTCATCAATAATCATAAAGATAAAATAAGTTATTTAATGCAGCTGGGAGTGTGCTATTCATGGATCCTGATAGTCCGTGGCAACAATCACTGCACCGAGGAGAGAAAAAAAAAAAAAGGCCCTGAAATTGTGACCATCTGTTAGTCTCTTTGTTTTCTTTGAGACAAGACGTGAAGGTAAGCATGCTAGTGCCCATGAAATAGCCAATACTGTACCTTCAGCTTCCCAAACTTCAGATGAAGGTGGCTGTATATTGCAGGGGTGCTTGTGTCCACTAATGGTTTTGCTGCCTGAACCTGCCACAGAAATGAAATGTTTATCCATTTTTGTTGGAAATAGCCTTGCATATCATTACAGGAAATCTTTTAATTCTCATGATCTGTTTTGTTAGCCAGCAGTAACACTATTAAACATATGACTCATTATATCAGCAAAGCCAGACTTGCCCAGAAGAAGAGTAGTGGGAAATGAAAATGTTAATGAAGTCAGTTGTTATAAAGTCTGCTGGAAATGTGAAGTGCTCTTTATGTTGGAGAAATGTAAAAATACATACAGTCAGGTTACAGTGGTGTTGATGTTAGGATACAGGAAAGGCTGTCTAGGAGAAGGCAGGCAGTTTTTATTAGGCATCCAGCAGAAATAAAAAGACTAGTCTAAGAAAGCCCTAGGCACTCCTAAGCTGTGCCAGGTCTTCCAAAGGGATGCACGTTTAGGATGCTGCCAGAAAGAGGTAAGCAATACTGGAAAAGGACTTCTTGTGTTGAAAGTATTCCCAGGCCTCTTCTTATCAGCACTTTAGAATGATGATCAAAAGCAAATTGTGGATCTAATTATTCTAATGGAGCTGGTAGTTCAGTGGCAGAATAATATTTATCTCCATCCTGACCTAAATAGCCCCGCAATATATGAGGTAGAAGAATAATCTGTGAGCTGTCTTGGAGCGAAGAAACCCTGTGGAAGAAAAGCTGGTAAGGGGGAGTGGAGTGAGGCAGGATTTAGAGGGGAGACCGCTCGCTCTCAGACTGGGGTCCTGCTGGGAGTGAGACCAAATTGGTTAAAACAACAGCACCATGATTTGTGTCATGGAATACATGTGATAAACCTTCTCCCTCTCTCATACCTCATACTTGAACCGTTCCATCTCAGGCAGATTCTGTGATATAGAAAGAAGAGAAAAATACTTGCTACTTAAAAAAAAAAAAGAGGCTGCCAAGTAAGAGCAGCAGGCACAGCACCAGCCCAAGCCCCGCGCAGCAGGGCATGACCAAAGCACTGCCTGGGGCCAGTAGAAGTTTTCCACATCTCTTTCTGTAGCAGCTTTGTGATGAGCCGAGGATCAGGCTTGAATCCCTGCTGGCAGACCTGTCATACGTACTACCTGGACGGGTTACTTGCTTTTATAACGGGGCGAGTAATTTACAGCATTCACTGGGACAATGTTTAGCAGTCTCTAGCTTTGTCTGAATTCACTTGAACTGCTCGGCTTCTGCTGAAAACTTTCCGCTGCTTTTTTGTGGCAGTCATCTCTGAGGCGGTGGGATCCCAGAAGGTGCTGACTGCTCCCAACTCCAGCTGATTTCGGATGAGAGTGCTCACAGAATCACAGACTGGCAGGGGTTGGAAGGGACCTCGGGAGATCATCCAGTCCAACCCCCCTGCTAAAGCAGGCTCACCCAGAGCAGGTTGCACAGGACATCGTCCAGGTGGGCTTTGAATATCTCCAGAGAAGGAGACTCCACAACCCCCCTGGGCAGCCTGTTCCAATGCTCTGTCACCCTCAAAGTTCTTCCTCATGTTCAACTGAAACCTGTTATGCTTCAGTTTAAGAATCATCTTAATCCTTTCTAGATCCCATCATGTTAAGTAGCTGATTTTTACTGGGTAGCAGAACGAAACTAGGTAAATCTCTGAGGGTTTTGTTGGTTTTGGCTTCTGCTGCTGCTATCTCCTCTGCTTCTTCAGGTGCTTTAAATTGTTGTGCTATTAAGTTATTTCAAAAATAACTTTCAGAAGACATGCAGTTTGTGAAAGAGGGTTGTTATTGTATCAGTCAGTAGAAATCACTGGTGTGAAGAATAAAATGCAATATTTATGCAAACGGATTTTAATTTATATGCAAACTGTTTGAAACTTGAATAAAAGGTGAGTTTAGGAACAACATTTCTTCTGTGGAATTAGTTTTGTGGAAGTGTTACAATTAATTTATCTTCTGTCCTTACATGCACAACTATAAAAGGTAAAACCTGGTATTTTTTAAGCCCAGTCTCTGTTGTGGAACTTTCCAGAGCCATGGTAGTTTTGGAGCCATTTAATATTTGATTCTATGCAGAATGTTGCAGAGAGGAGGTGTTTCTTTCCTTTCTTCTATTAAGAAGATAACAAAATTATTCGGACTGGACGAATTTGCTGTTGTGTACATAGAAACATGCTGGCGGGTTTTTTTGTACCTTTGCGTCATGGAGAAAATGATAACTTATCCCTAACCATTGCCATCTTTTTAGTGGTCTTCTCCAAGAAGTGTACCTCTTTTTGTTTTGTTTTGTTTTGTTTTTTTTCTCTGTATGTTACCTTTTTTTCTTCCTTGCTCTCTATTTTTCCGCTTTCTCTCTTGCTCTCATTTTTGGTAGTTTGTTTTGTTGGTTTGGGGTTTTTTTTGAGCTCCTTCAATGCAAAGCCTGCACATCACCAAGCAGAGGCTCTTACATTTTCTCAGGGCGATCCCTGTCTCTCTTGACAGAGCAAAAGCCTGTGCCACAGGGGGCTGGGTCATTCAGGACAACCTGCCAAATTGCCCCACTGCCTTCAGTTACCCCAGCCTGCAGGTAACGCTGCTCTGGGGAAGCTGCCGTTCACTGCAGCAAGCCAGAATTCATGCCAGTGGAAGGCATGGTGAAATTTCCGGGCAACCGGTGTGGGAATTGAGGAGCGTGCCAGCATGACAGCATGGGGCACTTGAAAAGGCTGCTCTTTGACCACTGGAGACCTTGTTACTCACTATTTGATCTGTGTGTGAACCCTGAGCCCTAAGGAACAAAATTCTGTACCTTTTAAGGCATCCTTTGCCCAACATGATAGTTACTCTCTTTCTGCTTGCACTCAGAAATGAACGTTCGTGTTTATCACAGAATCATAGAATGTTTTGGGTTGGAAGGGACCCCTAGAGGTCATCTAGTCCAACCACCCTGCAGTGACCAGGGACATCTTTAACTGGATCAGGTTGCTTGGAGCCCCGTCCAACTTGGCCTTGAATGTTTCCAGGGATGGGGCCTCCACCACCTCTCTGGGCAACACATTCCAGTGTTTCACCACCCTCATTGTAAAGAATTTCTTCCTTATATCCAGTCTAAACCTACCCTGCTTCAGTTTAAAACCATTACCCCTTGTCCTGTCACAACCGGCCCTGCTAAAAAGATTGTCCCCATCTTTCCTACAGGCCCCCTTTAAGTACTGAAAGGCCGCAATCAGGTCTCCCCGCAGCCTTCTCTTCTCCAGGCTGAACAAGCCCAACTCTCTCAGCCTGTCCTCGTAAGAGAGGTGCTCCAGCCCTCGGATCATTTTGGTAGCCCTCCTCTGGACCAGCTCCAACAGTTCCATGTCCTTCTTGTACTGAGGGCTCCAGAGCTGGACACAGGGCTCCAGGTGGGGTCGCACCAGAGCAGAGCAGAGGGGCACAATCACCTCCCTTGACCTGCTGGCCACGCTTCTCCTGATGCAGCCCAGGTAATGGTTGGCCTTCTGGGCTGCCAGCGCCCATTGCCGGCTCATGTCCAGCTTTTCATCCACCAGCACTCCCAAGTCCCTCTTGGCAGGGCTGCTCTCGATCCTTTCTTCCCCCAGCCTGTATTGATACTGGGGGCTACCCCGACCCAGGTGCAGGACCTTGCACTTGGCCTTGTTGAACCTCATGAGGTTCACACAGGCTCACCTCTCCAGCCTGTCCAGGTCTTTAATCCAAGAGCAGTTGAGTCGTGGGAAATGTTTTGTTCTCTATAAATACATTTCTTTACTATATATCATGATGATATCTAACCTCTGTTCTTGGCCTCTGAATGCCTTAACGCATGTATGAAGTGCTCTGTGCACTGGACAAAGGAGAGTTCTGTGTGCACAGCGGATGCCGAGAGTATTTCAGCTGAACTAATACCAGTTCCCTGCTTTAAAAGAGATGCTGTTTAAATAGCCATGCTTATATACAATAGCAAGCCTCCTGAGGTTAATTCACACAGAAAGAAATTTATTTATTTATTTCAATATTGTCAATTTGGTTAGAAAAATATGTCAAATTCAATTCTCTGCCTCATCCTTAACTTTTTTCCACCTGCAAGTTAAATTATGGGAACAATGGAAGGAAGGAAGGAAGGAAGGAAGATATTTTTATACAGTTAATGAAACAGACCCAGTCTGGAAATAATGAAGAACTATTTCTTCGTATTAAAGCTAATTATGTTGTGATACAATCTTCCTAAGGTAGCAATACCGTTGAATCATCGCTGATGGTATTCACACAGATTTTCAAGAGGGAGCGGTCCTGCATTGTTACTGATTGGGAGCAGATGACTGACTGCATCTTCTTCACTTCTAAATTTGGCGAACATCATTACGATAACTCCCAATGAACACTAAAGCTATGCTAGACCTGTATTTGCTGGATATTCTTAAAATGTGTCTCTTGTACCTTATTGCTGATCAGTAGCTTTCCTACTGGTATTAAGAATGAGTAGAGAGATGCTGTAGCCTTTTTGGGTAAGCTCATTCTTTCCTGAAGGCCTCTGCTCTTTATCAAACAGTTGTACCTACCCTTTTCTTGTGTTCTTCATACTTTGCTTTGTCCCATTTTAGCTGAAGATACTTGTTGCCACATGGTAAAACTGGCTGGTAGGCTCGATGCATCTTGCACAAAATAAAGCATCTCTGAATCTGGGCTTTTTAAAAAAAAAAAAAAAGTGTGAGTAATACCAGTCTGAGCCTTTCCTAAAGCAAACCCCTGGAGACTTGCGGTATGTTTGTAGCCGGTCACGTGGGGGTTGTCATGGCATCACTGCTCAGAAAAAGAATGAAGAGCTGGTGGTAGCATTTCAAACAATACATTTAACGGATAGCAAACAAGAACTGAATGTTATAGCAAAGCATTCCAAAGAGTATTTTATTCATATATAAAATAGATTACCAATTATATTTCTCTAGCCAGACCTACCTCCCGCTGGTGAAGGGAAGACAGTGGTGTAAGCTATTAATAATGCTTCACACACTACCATAAATATGCAAAGGACTGTACAATGGGCTATATTTGCTGAGCCTTGAATTGAATGGCATGCCTCAGTAATGCTCCGAGCAAACCCATAGTGGGAGGTGTCATCTTTTGCACTGCAATAATTTGTTTAAAAGACTTTTTTATTGATAAGTATGCACTTTCCAAAAGCCCCAGAAAATGTTTTCATAGCGAAATAGTTCTGGTTTTAATAGCCTTTTCACCTTTCTTTATCTGCATGCCATCTCTTTGCTAATGAGTTATGGAAAGCTCAGACATGCAACAGCCAGTTATTTACCAAGTTGACCACTGGTTCCCATGTAGAGGCATCTTGGCTTTTGTTCTTCGTAGGCTATGCTTGGCAAGGAGATGAATGGGCAAAGATGTTTTCTCAGGCCCATCCAAAAATGGAAAAGGTGCTCCTGGTCATTCAAGCTCAGCTTGGCCTCCTCCAAAGCTGGGCTTGAGCTGACACAGTTCATTTGATGTTTCTGTCCTCATGGTGTGGAGCACCCTGAAGCTGGGTCCAGCAGACTGCCGAAGGACTTCTTTGATTTTGGCTCATGCGTTTTCTTGATAAGGCCCCAGAGTTCCTAAGGAGAAGACTTGAATTGCAACTTGAAGCTGTCATGGGTCTTTTGAAACAGGTTGGATAATGTAGATTTATATAAAAGCACTGGGAAGTAAGCAGGGAAGCTATAGCTGGCAGTACCAAAATTCACTAACCAGAGTGGGTCTGTACAAGGGTGAACCAGGGGATGTTCCATTTTAGCGCGAGGCTGTTGGTGCAGGTTGTTCTTACAGTGTCTCAACGTGGGTGCACACAACTACCCAACACAGAATCGGGGCCGGTGCTCTCCTGAATCTGTATCTTGATTAACTTTTGCATTTCGATAGCAAAGTAAGGTTGGATATAGGGGGTTGTCATTTTTATTACAGTTGGTGTGAAATGGTGCTTAAACAACAGAAGCAGACATAAAATTAAAACCTTGATACATACTAATTTTGAGCTGTAAAGCAAACACCCTTATTTTCAGACAAGTGATGGAAGGAATTGAAGAGTAAGTTTTTCCAGCTGCTTGGGTTCTTATTATTTCCTGTTAATGTAACAGGAAGATGTGGAGAATGTCAGTAAAAATAATACAGAGTACAGAGTTGAAATGTATTTCTTCAAATATATATGAAATCTAACTGTGCACAATACAATTGTATTTTGCTCTTGAACAAATAGAAATACTTAGGCCCTCGTTTGCTTGGCAGGGTCTCAGCCTTGGTCTTTTGAATGCAACATATAATGATCTGCTATGGACAGATCCGAAGGTCACCTTAGCAAGGGAATCTTTTCATTGATTTTGATGAAGCCCTTAAAATCTAAGGAAAACTTAGTCTCTTACATTGATGGAATCATGGCCCACCAAGAAATTGAAATCACTTGGAATAATTTTGCAGCTGCTTCCCAGTTAAAGTTTGTGGCAGAAGGGAAGTGGTTTTAAACGTCTTCTGTGGTTGCCTGTGCTCTCTCTACCCTCAAAATCTGTGGACTGTATATGCATTCATTCTAAACTTGGTTTTGAGTGGGGTTTTGGTGGTGGGTTTTGTTTTGTTTTGTTCTGAGGTAAGGAAAGCAAAGATCAACAGTTTCAAAACTGACTGTCTTAATGTCGAACTACCGAAGGTCCAGCAGGTCTTTTCTGTCAGAAGATGGTGCTGGAAGACAGGAACAGCAGGTCCTACCTCTTTCTAATTTCACAGTCTAAACTTAGAGCTACAACAGGGGATTCTTTAGAGTAGCATTTCACTGCTTAGTCAAAGCAGACTTGTGAAGTATCCTTAACAAACCAGAGGACTAGACCTGCTACCTCTACAAGGTAAAACAGATATTTATGGAGCATTTGTTCTGTAGGTTATACAATTTTATGAAGTGACAGCCATGGGAATTTCCGTGTTGTGTGCAGAAGGACTTGCATATAATTTCTTGATAGCAAAAGCTACTTGCTGAAGAGGAGCAGATGAGAAATTAGTAAATAATGAACGTAAGAAGATTTTTGCAAAAAATGCATTTTCCAGTATATGTCAAGACACATATACATTCAGCTTTCACACAAAGGAGCGAGTGTTTTCTGCAGCATAAAAGCAATGTGGTCAATGCCAGTCTACTTTTTTAATGTGGCGATCTTGAGTGTGCTGAGCTGCTTCTCTGAGTTTTCAGCACCTTATGGCTCTCACAGGTTTCTGGGTTTGTTTTTTAATGTCTTTTTTTTCTTTTGGTCCAATTTTTGAGCAAACCTGTTCATATGCTATATAGGATCATAAGCTCTGCAGTTGGTGTTGCTGTTAGGAATTTGAATCTGGAGTTACTTCCCCCTTGACTATGTTGCAGGGTTAGTGAGTTGCTGCCCTTTCCCACCGTCTTGGCCAGAAGAAGAGCTCAGGATGGCTCAGGAGCCGCCAGCTTCAGCAGCTGCTTATGCTTATGGCCCAGTTAGGGAGTAAATTAAAAAAGATGCTGCTTCTCCTGCTTCATGGGCAATACAGATCATGTTTTTGGAGGTAGTGTTGCTCACTGTGGCCAGAAGTGCCCTTTCTGTCATTTGCTTTTGCTCTGAACTTTGTATATATAGTGAAAGTATATAGTAAGAGGCAGAGTGTACATTTTCTAAAGCTTTAAAGGTTTTCTGGGTGCGTGAAGAGGAAAATAAGTCCTTAATTTTTTGCTGACAGCTTTCCTGGCTATTTTAAAGTCATGGCAATTCCGCATCTTGTTCTATGAAGTGTTTGACCGACTTCGGGCACATGCACAGACCGAACTGCAGGATTGGAGTCATTTGTGGGTGTGCTTGAGGATCAGGCCCAGTCTTCTTTCATTCACTGCCTGTCCCTGGATGGGCATTTGGAGATGCTGAGAGAAGCCAATTTTTTTTTTTTTGTGGTCGGTTCAGTATGTTACACGATAGGATCCAATGCCATGACTTTGACCCTGCAAGCACACACCCTTATCATGTAACTCACAAGCAAACCACCCGCCTGAGTAGCTGAAGAGTCCATCTGTAGTCAGGAGGATAAAAAAAGCAACTGGAAAACCTGCTGGGGTGAGCGCGACCCGCTCTGTCTGTGCATGCAGCATACCTAGCCGCTTCCATCTAAGGGCTGCCTGCAGTCACACAGAGTGTGTCTTTGTGCATACGTGTGCAGCGGAGCAAACCCCTCGCAGCGTGGCACGAGCACTTGCTGCGCTGAGCGGTGCAAAGGGAAGGGGATGTGAGGGCTATGGCTCCCACTGCGATACAAAAGCAGATTTACCAGATGCTTCCTTTAGACTTGACCCTTTCTGGAAGCTCTGAGCGGGAATTAATTTTTGGCTGGGAGAAAAAAAAGGTTGTTTCCCACTTATTGTCTGAGAAATTGAGAGAAGGGAAAGGGGGTGGGAAAAGAGGAAGAGGAAGGAAAAAACACTGCCATAAATATATGGAGTTTTATTTATATATACCTATGTTTACATCTACACACACAATTTTAAATCTTTCGGACAATGTTTGGTAAGATCCAGGATTTCCTTGATCTACAGCAAAAATGCCAAGTAGACCAGTGCTGATAACTAATGTTCCTCGGTGGTTTTCATGTGGGAGGAGGGCACAGAGGGAGAGGAGAGGACTGTTGGATGATTGATTGACTGAGCTTCTGCACCGAGGTCGGTTTGCTTGTGCAGTCGTCCTTAGCTCTCTGAGGAAGGCCGGTCTTACGTGGTGTGGGTGCTATGGAGTACACACACAGAGGTGAGGCCGGGGCCCTGTCCCTCACCTTTGTCTGAGGAGGGGAGCACTTTCTGGGTAACCCCAGAAGGCCCTGGAGCAGGTAGCTGGGAGCAGGCTGCTGCTGCTGAAAAGCTGGTCTGTAGCCAGAGGCCAGCACGTCCCGGGACAGAGGGACGGGTGCATTGGCACTGCAGGCCCACCCGCTCCAAGGCCAGCGTGTGGGCACTCCGCCATGTGCCCCATCTGCACAGGGAACTTAACCTTTTCCTGGACACAAAATGTCAATGTCACTGTAGCAATGAGAAGATTTCTGGTGTGGGCAGACTGGAAGTGTTGCTGATGCTTTGTCTGGCAGTTTTTTAATTTGTGCATCTCTTCTTTGCATGAACCCCTTGTCAGGCTTTACAGGAGCAAACCTCAGCCCACTTGTCAGCACAAGGCATAGCTAAATTTGCAGCTGGAATGAGGGCAACTTGCCAGTGCAGGCAAGGCCCACATTGCTGGAAGAGAGGTGGTAGCCTCCTAAGAGTGGCCCAGAGGAGAAAACTTGGAGGGGCTTGAAACCATAGAATCATAGAATGGTTTGGGTCGGAAGGGACCTTTAGAGGCCATCTAGCCCAACTCCCCTGCAGTGAGCAGGGACATCGCTAACTAGATCAGGTTGCTGAGAGCCCCGTCCAGCCTGGCCTTGAATGTTACCAGGGATGGGGCATCCACCACCTCTCTGGGCAACACATTCCAGTGTTTCACCACCCTCATTGTAAAGAATTTCTTCCTTATATCCAGTCTAAACCTACCCTGCTTCAGTTTAAAACCATTACCCCTTGTCCTGTAACAACTGGCCCTGCTAAAAAGATTGTCCCCATCTTTCCTACAGGCCCCCTTTAAGT